CTGAGGGACAGCGGGATGAGGGCTGGGAATGCACTCACGTGGGAAAGGGATTGCCTTTGCCTTCACATTCGATGAAGATGTTATCCCTGGGATCCACGATGTAATCCTTGATGGATTGCTTGGTGATCGTGGGGGGCTGCGGCACTGCAGGGACAGGGAAATCCGTGAGGAGCCGGGGGAGATCCCTCTGTGCCATCCCACAGCAATTCCTGCTGGGATCTCAGCTCCCTCCCCTGCCTGGCTGTGTGATTTGGAGGCTGAATCCTGAGGAAATTCCTGTGAAATCCCTGAGTTCACCTCTCGGAGTATCCGGGCTCCCTTCAGGTACTGAAAAACCTCAATTCCCTTTCTGCATCTTGGTCTGGGAATGTCCCAGTTACAGCCTCCTGTTCCCATAGGGTGAATCCAATGGGAATTCATCCCGGATCTGCAGCTCAGAAAGGGCTGGGCCATGGATCCTGAGACATTCCTGGTGCAAGGAATGCGGCTCCAACCCCCCAGGACGGCCCCAGATGAGCTCAGACCTGGGATTTAGGAGGACAGGGATGGAAAAAGGGACATAGGAAGCCCATGGCCAGAATGGATCCCTGAACTGCAGATCCCAGCTCCTGGGATGAGCATCCAAGGCTGTTTCCTCACCCCCTGAGATCCAGGGACGCTCCCACCTCTCCAGGATGTGGGACTGAGCCTGGAGTTCATTCCCACCCTTCCCCAAACCCAAACCCTGCAGGAACAACTTTTCCATGCAAACCCAGCCTGGTTCCTGCTCAGCCTGGAGAGCTGGGAGCTCATCCCACGCTGCTCCAGCCTTGGCATGCATTTCCCAACCTGGATGTGCAAGAAAAGGGGCCACGGTCCCCTTGTAGCCACCACGGCCACCACCAGCGCATGCACAGTGGCCCCTCATGCAGTTTTGGGGACAAGGACACGGGAAGGGGAGCACTTACATTCTCTCTGGATATTTGCTGTTATTCCCGAAGGGAATGCATAGAGGGAAAGAAACAGGAGGTTAATTCAGGAGCAGTCCTGTTCCCAGCTCAGCCAGAAAAGAAATCCGGGGAGTTTTTGGAGGTCCTTGGAAACCCTACACAAAAAAGCCTTTTCCTCCCAAATATGGCGAAGAAAATCCAAATGTGGAGGGAAAAAAAACCCGAATGTGGAGAAGAAAATCCAGCTGTGGAGGAGAA